CTGCCAGGCGGAGGTCATTCATGGAGTGGGGGTTTTTGGCTTGTAGTTGGTGAGGTGTTTGAGGCCTCTCCAGACCGAAGCAGAGTCACTTGCTGAGAACTGTTGTTGGAGTTTCTCAGAGTACAGTCGTTTAGCATCTCTCACTGCCTTGCTAAACTTGTATTTTGCCTCTGTGTACAAGTCTTTGTCCCCACTCCTAAATGCCTGATCCTTCTGCAGGCGTAGTGTTCTGAGTTCCGCTGTGAACCAGGGTTTGTCGTTGTTGTAACTCACCCTGGTGAATGATGGTACACAGCTGTCCTCACAGAAGCCGATGTAGGAAGTTACAGCCTCTGTGAACTCATCCAGACTGTCAGTAGCAGTCCTGAAAACATCCCAGGAGACGACCTGGAGAGTCACGTCTTTGTGTGTCTTTGTGTGTGGAAGTCGTTGGTTGCTTTATTTATTTATCATAGACTTTATTGCCCCGTGCATCCACACTGCTGCTTTTAATCAAGGACACATTTGTCCCGTATTTTCCTCCACGACTTTGTTCCCCTCGTTTGTGGAGATCTCCCTCCATGAATCAGAGGCCGTCCGGCGTCCTTATTGTCCGCCAATGACGGCTTGTAGAAGCGCTCACATTTATGCATTTCTTCACACAAAAGCTCTTCAATCTGATCCGTTCTCTCGTAAACATTCCTCGTTTTGATAATGGCGGTAGTGTGCTATGAAAACGGAAATGTGAGACTCCGTAAAGGACGTAGTTATCAGGAGGCTTGTGTAGCTTTTGACGCAAGTCTAGAAAAATGGGTCGACGCACACAAGGAGGTGTGAAAAGACACGCAAAGGACTTAAGAATACTGGAGCTTTGAGTTAAAGTGAATTGATAAAGTATGAAATGAAAGCTGTACAAAGTTACTACTTTGCCCGTCTACGCCCGTTCACTTTCATTTTAAGCTGCTTCATTGAATTGCTGTTATCTTGGTCTGTTGACTTCTTTAGATTATTCCATATTATTTTGGAATTACCTCCTGCTTCATCAATGACTTTAATAAAAAATAACTAACTTCTTTCGTTACCTGGTTTCTCAACATTATGAATTTCTGCCTTTCATTTCCTAATTTAGACTTGAGTGCCAGTTTTAACACAGTCACGTTTTCTAAATTCCAGATGTCATTATTTACCAATGGAAGTGCGTTTCATTGATTTAGTTTAACTTTGGCTTTTTGAAGCAAACGGTTACCTGCGCTCTGTATTGTGGATGAGAAGAATTTGCTGACTTCCTCAACACTTGCACCCGTTAAACAGTTGCTCCAGTCGATTCCTTGCAGAGCATCCTCAAACGCATTGGGGTCACTTTGAGGTGGTCTTAATTGATTAGCCTTTCTGGTAGTCGACATATTAAAACATCTCTTGTTAAGAGTATTAAATTATGCTCAGACGAACCAGTTACCATATTGCGTGTTTTGATCATTCTTCCTGGTTTATTGATAAAAAAAATCAAATCAATCTGGGACTGAGAAGAGTGGATTATCCTTGTGGGTTTGTTCACTAACTGGCTCATATTAAAGCGATCCATCGTACGTTTTAGGGATCTTCTTCCAGACTTATCCTCCCAATCTACATAATAATCACCCATTAATATAACCTCTTTGTCAAAGTCACATTCCTTTAACATGGAATTAAGCTGATTATAAAATTCACATTTGGACGACGGCGGTCTGTAGAGACAGATTAGAGTAAAATGCCTTTGAGATGATAGGGACACTCAGAACAATACATTCCAACTGGACATCAGTAGACCACTTAATGTGGCTGCAGTTAAGTTGTTCTTTAATGTAAAACATTACTCCTCCTTCTTTACCAGTAGATCCATCCCTTCTAAACATATTGTATCCACGCACATACAAAGCAGCAGGGGGCGAGTTTATATGCAGCCACGTTTCTGAGGGACGCAGAAGGTCCAGGTTTGAATCCACAACAAGATGTTTTATTCGATCCATTTTAAGACTTTGAATATTCAAATGCCCTCCTAACAGTCCTGTAGGTCTTGCATGTGTATCCCACAGCACACGGGCGTGATGCATATTCACATTGAACATGTGGGCCGACAGTGAAAGAGGAAATCACCTTTCCATTGAATTGTACTTCTTAAGATAACAACAGTATTGACTCGGCTCATCAAAAACAAAACTATAGACACAGTGAACAACAGACGGGAATACCTTCACCAAGAGCGGATAAACAACATTAACCTAAAAGCCACATCAATAAGTAGAATGGAAGCTATGGGAATACCAAGGGGGGGGTGTCTAATGAGAGGAGCAGGATCTGGAAGACGCAACATTTCCCCTGCTGGCGCTGAGAGGTTTGAACCCGCGTGGCGCCGAGGAGGAGAGCCCTCCTGTCGACAACATGAGCGGCGCCAAAGGGAACCGTGAGCAGTGACCGGACACCCGTCATCCCGCCGAGAGGAAGGACTTCCTCAGCCCAGACTCTGCTTGGACCTGAAGAAGACCAGCACCGACCACAGCACGAGACCAGCACTGTTCCGGGGGGACCGGAAGCAAGACTAGGACAGATTCAGAAAGGGCCCAAGCAAACCCCTCGGCCGTTCCCAGACCACCTCACAGTGATGGTGAGTTTCCAAGCGGCTCCACTGACACTACCTCATGGACAGCAACAAGCATTCAGCATGAGAGACACCCTGAGAATGGTCGAGAAACCACCTCCGCCTCTTAGCAGTGAACCACCGCTGAGAGCTCTCACTGAAGAACTAGTGAGGAGCTTGACGACACCTTCTCAGGGTTATTGCACTCACGATTTAGTAAATGCAAACAGTTGTTTATTGCTGTGATAGCAGTCTCCATTATGGCCAGCATTCTAGTCTCAGGCGGATGCTGTTGCGTCCTCTGCATCAGGACTCTTATCACTAGAGTCATAACCACCGCAAGCACCCAAGAAGATTGTTGGTTATTATAAAGAAACTGGCAACCCGGTGCATAAATTAGACCCGTTAATAAAATGCATTCAGTGTACACCGGGATACAGCCACGATTCTGAAACTATGTAATCAATAAAGCAAAGAGAATAGTGTAACACCACTGTGATTTAATCAACGGACTAATACCAATACTCAGCTATGATTGTATTCAACGTAATGTAACCAACCAAAATGCAAGCATGTGATACTTGATAGAACCACTGATGTTGACCGAGAGACATTCGCAATCCGAGTTACAGTGAGCGCACCATCCAGTGTAATACCTCATTGCACCACCATGTTCTCTGAATAACGAGTCGACATGAACACACCAGGGGTCACATGTCCAGGAGCGTGGACACTAACTTCCACACCTCTACTGAACTGCATAAATACCTGTAGGCAGCCATTGTTCTAGGAGTCCGTTGGTGGAAGCAAGGCACAGTCACTGGGTGGTCAACGGGCCGCTCTGTGGCCTGATTGCAGAAACCAGCGGCTCCTCAGCTGAGATGTTCTTCTCAGTTTTTACAACACAACATTACCATCAATGGACATTATGTAAATTTCTTTTTGAAAATTCTGCGACTTTTAAAAGATGATAAATGAAACCAGAAAAACTTGACGTCATCAGCTTATTCCGTACTGCATCAACCTCCCAACACCTGCGCCATGTTTTCAGCGCTGTGCCCCCAAAGGAGATGTGCTTCAGTAGTATTTGGAGGTGGAATCTACGATGGACGTCCATGGGTCGCTCCTCTGTTTCCAGGAGGATGTAAAGTCAGCGGGCAGCTTCTTCAAGACTGTCAAACACTGTTTGGTCAACTTCCACATCCTCGTGGACATTGAGTTGAGCCAAGTCCTCTGTCCCTTTATCAGCCCGAACTGAAGGATGTCCTTCTGAACGCCGTTCTCTGCATCGTTTGCTAACAATCACAATTGATTTGAAACCGTTTGTAAAAACAATCCCACGTTTCCCAAATGCAAACGACAACTTCAGCGACAGAAGTAGTCGACCAGGAGCGATCACACTCCTGTGACATGTAACGATAAAAAGAAAGAGTATGATGATTTAACAGTCACCCTAAATATGCTTTTATTGTGAAGAGGACTTATGATCAGATGGTGGCTTTTCTCTGGCTCCTTATTGGACGATGGAGTTTTGATGGAGTGTTGCTCCCAGCATGCAGATGAAGATCAGCTGGCTCTCAGATCAGATCTCACTACTGTTCACCGTGTGACGACTTCCTGTGAGGACCTGAGTTTGTTTGTCCTGCAACTCCCCGACCTGAAGGACGCTGAGGCGGTGCAGAAGTTCTTCCTGGAGGAGATCCAGCTGGGGGAGGAGCTTCTGGCTCAGGGTAACAACACCTTCACAGTTTGAGTCTATTGTTTCTAGTTGTTATTCCAAGGAGAACATAGACAGCTTTCATAGGAGCCTACTGAAAATGAGGAGTGACTTTCTGTGAGACGTCACCACTGTAAGAAGCCCATTGAGGACATGTGTCTTCACCTCGCGTCCTTGTGCTCCTCAGGAGACTACGAGAAAGGCGTGGACCACCTGACCAACGCCATCGCCGTGTGTGGTCAGCCTCAGCAGCAGACTCTGCCTCCACCCGTCTTCCAGATGCTCCTCACCAAACTGCCCAGCATCAGCCAGGTAGGGGGACACGTCTCTTTGTCCTTCATTTGGACCTTACGGGTCCTTCTGTCCTCCACGCAGAAAGAACACGAGAAAAAATGTTTAGCGTCTTTGTTCTGCTCCTGCAGCGCATCGTGAGTCTGAGCGAGGACGATATAGAATGAGAGGACCAGGAGGAGACGACCCCCCCCAAAACCCTCACCCTCATCTTCATCATCTGGACCTTCCAAGACGTCCCCCCCGACGCCTCGGCCTCCATCACTCCGGGCCGCCAACCATCACTTCCTGAAGGGGAACTCGTTTCTTTACTCCTGGTTCATCCATGACAGTGATGTTTAGTTCTTTTTAACCTGAACGACCCGTTTTGTGGCGTTCAGAGTCTCTGGGTCATGACGTAGGCGTGCACTCTGCAGGTGGAGCGTGTTACCGTGAAGGGGCTCCTTCCTTCTGGGTGGTGCAGCACACGTGCTGACAGCCTCATGTACCCGGGTTACACCGTCTGACGTGTTGGTACCGACCGTCTTCCTGCTTCTCATGAGATCACAAACAGGAATCTTCTCTTTGCTCGGATGCTTCAAAGTATTTATTGTGTGTTTTTCTTTGTCATCGGTCGTCTTTCTGTTCGTTCTCGACTTTTAAAAAGTGATCAAATGTTTTCTTTAGTCATTTTAAAGCGGACGACCCTCTTTAGGACAATAAAAAGAAACGTGAAGGAACTCTGAAGTTGTCTTGTGAGGTGATCTTGTATCTAAAGGAGGTCACGCCTCCTCCACGTGGTCCAGTCGCTGTGCACGTGTCATCAAGGAGACAAACAGGTATGACGTCATAAACTCATGAAGCTGCTTCATGAATAACAGCCTGTGCAGCTCCAACAACTACAGCTCAGCTGCTAAACTCTTGTTACATCATTTAAGTTCATGGTTTTGCTCTCCGGCACCAAATAAATACTTTGTTACTACAGCAGGAAAACTGTGGATCAACGTTTGTGTATAATTACAGTTGTATTTGGTTATTATTCTGCTGCTGGTTCTCAGTCGAGTGGATTCTCCTCAGTATCTGAAGCCACTGAACAGTTTCATCAACCTCGTGTATTAACTCACGTTAGAATTGATCTTTCTGTGGAACTCGTGTCGTTCACACTGGCGAATTGTCACGTGATCAATAAACAAAGAACTCGGACATGTTTCCTGCATTAAACAAGACGTTTTTAATTAACATGAATATAAATATAACTTGTGTAAACCCGTCATTTCTGTTCAGTGTTCAGTTCAAGTTATTTATGAGGCAAAAGTAACTTGTTCAAGAGATGTATGTTTCCTTTTTTTCAACAATTCACAAAACAAATCAAAATGAGCCAAAGTGACTTTAAATAATTCAAACCACTTTTCACACCAAAAGAACATTTGCATCTATATTATTAATTCACTTTGTCCATAGACCTTTTATGCAGTATGAGAGTAACTTCATAGAATATAACTTGTGTAAACTTGTCATTTCTTGTCACTGTTCAAGTTATTTATAAGGTGTAAATGTATGTTTCTTTGTTTACAATCACTTATCTTTATTTGTCATCTTAAACATTTTCACAAAACAAATCATAATGAGCCAAAGTGACAACAGAAAGAACATTTGCATCTATATTATTAATTCACTTTCATGCACAATAACAACAACACAAAGTGTATTCTGTGAACATGATGGAAAGGTCAGAGGCGTTTATGAGAATATTAAATATTCAACAATATGTTTTCAGAGGCTTCACATCTGATATCATTTGTTTTGCTGATTTACTCAAAGTCAAACTTCAGCTTTGGATATTTAGTGAAAATAAAACAGTCTGGATTCAAAAGGTCTCCATAAGGCGTCATGATACAGAAATAAAGAGAAAAACATACAGTATTTATATAAAATATGTACATTTATTCCCTTTAATAAATAAAATCATCACATGAAATCAGAGAATGATTAATTTACTCCGACAGGAGAGATGATCAGAGGAGCAGAGTTTCTACCATCGTAATTACCACCAGGACAGAAGAACGGGAAGAGCTTCTCAGTGAAGGAGCAGCCAGTGAAGGAGTAGATGAGAGCTGCAGCTTCTACGTCATAAAAGGAGACCACACCCTCCTCATAGTCCACAAACACCCCCACCTTCTGAGGACGAGACTTCACAGAGAGAACAACTGGAGGATCATTAAGAGCAAGGTATTCATTTCCATTTGTCAACCATATGATCCAGTAACCATTCTGAGGACTCTGTGAGATGAATCTCTTCCTGTTGACTGACTCTCTGTTCACTCCTAAATCCCACAGAGTCTTTCCTTCAACCTGAACCTCAAAGTAGAATCTGCCTGAAGAGAAACTCTGCTTTGTTAAAACACAGTGCCAGCTAGAAAATCTCTTTGGGTTGTTTGGGAGCTTCTTCTCCACATCACCGTGTTTCACTTGTTTCCCATTGTCAGACACGATCAGTTCACAATGAGCTGTTTCAGGATCAAGAGTCAGATCCACTGCAAACATCTGGACCTTCTTCATCAGCTCACCAAACCACTTCTTCATCTTCTTACTGAGTGTCTCCTCCAGCTGAGACACAGCTCTCACCACAGTCCCCTCATATGAAGGACAAACACTGACCTCTGTCCAGTCCTTGGTGGGTGGTGGCTGATGGATGTTTGAGGACTGGAGAAGATGGAGGTGGTCTTCAGAGAGAGACAGCTGCTCCACCTCAGCGCTCCTCTTCATCAGCTCAGAGATTTCCTCTTCCAGCTCCCTGATGAAAGCTTCAGCCTGTTTCTTTGTGGCTTCCTGCTTCTCTTCTATTGTTTTGAGGAGCTCCTTCAAGCCTTTTTCAACAGACTCCATCAGATCAGTGAAGACCTGAACACCTTCTGCTTTCTCTCTGTCTGCATCTTCCTCACTGAGGTCGACCGAGTGTTTGATCTCCTGAATCTTCACTCTTCTCTTCTGGATCATCTGCTGAATTTCAGCCTCTTTCTTCTTCAGCTCGACCTTCTTTTCTTCATATTCTTCTTCCAGAGGAACATACTCATGGTTCTTGTGGTCTAAAATAGTGCAGAGCATGCAGACACACGTCTGGTCACTCCTACAGAACAGCTCCAGAGGTTTATCGTGCTTCGTACACATCCTGCCTTCCAGGTTCTCCACAGGGTCCATCAGCTGATGTCTCTTCAGGCGTGAAACTGTCAGATGAGGCTCCAGGTGAGTCTCACAGTAGGAGAACAGACACACCAGGCAGGACTTGAGAGCCTTCACTTTGGTTCCAGTGCAGACGTCACAGGGAACTTCTCCTGGTTTGGACTCTTGTTGCTCTGAGCTGCTGCTGCTGGCTTTCTGCTGAGCAGACTGTCTGAACTGAACAACCATCTCAGAGATGAAGGTGTTGACCCTCAAATCAGGTCTGGTGATGAAGTCCTTGTTACACATTGGACACAGGTTCTGGTCGCTGGTGTTCCAGTGTTTATTGATGCAGTTCATGCAGAAGTTGTGTCCACATGGTGTGGTGACTGGATCAGTGAACACATCCAGACAGATGGAGCACAGGAACTGATCTTCAGATGGACCATAGTTTGCAGAAGCCATGTCTACACATGTTGTGGAAGAGAAGAACAACGTTTTATTTAAAATAGTTTTCATGAATAGTTTTATCTTGAAACCAGTCCAGAATGTGTCCACATGCTGTGAATAAAGAGCAGCACGCTAACAACGCTCTGCTTACTTGGTGACAAACACGTAGCGTCTCATTTAGATGACTCACACTAAAAGCCTCCAGCAGGTTCACTGTGGAACACGTTTAACTTGATCCACCAAGAGGAAACAGAGGAAGGGATCAGGAAACAGAGAGACACTAAAGTTTAAAGCACAGAGATTCAGCTCCAAGTGACTGAAGTCCTGGACAGTTTGAAGCTGTTAGACTGAGTT